AGAGTTTCACTCTCCTCACCCAGGAGGGAGTGTAATGGCGCAATCTCAACTCATTGCAACCTCTGCCTCCCAGGTTCAAGTGATTCTCCTGTCTCAGCCTCCCAAGTAGCTGAGATTACAGGCGCCGGCCATCACACCCAGGCTAATTTTTGTATTTTTAGTAGAGATGGGGTTTTGCCACATATGCCAGGCTGGTCTCAAACTCCTGACGTCAGGTGATCCACCTGCCTCAGCCTCTCAAAGTGCTGGGATTATAGGCATGAGCCACCGCACCCGGACTAAATTGTTATAATGTTATTTTTTACTGTTTCTTTTTTGGAATATTTTTGATTCACAGTTGGTTGAATCCTTGAATGTAGAATCCACGTACAGAAGAATCGATTGTATGTCCCAAAATATCTCACATATGTGTGACATTCAATGTTGGCTTAATAAATTAAAGCTATATGGCAGTACCATATTGACCAGAAAAAGTCAATATTCATACAATTATATCAGAAAATCTTGAGTACCAATATCATTAAATAATAACAGCAATAATGTTAAATCACACTCAGATTGGTGCTGCTTAGTTTTTAATCATGGGAGGTCAAAAAATTCACTATCTCAAAGCTACTGATGGGCTAAGTATAACCCTCTTACACTAAAAAAGTATACTTTTTACACTCTTTTTTTTTCTTATCAGATGTCAATACTATACCACCTGATGTGCCGAAATGATCACTCAAATTTGGAGGATGCTGAATTAAGAGGTTACATTAAAATTCAAATTATCAGTAGGAATAATATTTGATAATATTTTCTAAAATTCATGACTTGTCTTCAATTTCAAATAAGTTATAGGGAAACTTGAAAAAAGCATAACTGAAGAAACAGTATCTGACAAAACCTATTTAAATAATCCATTCTATTAGTTATCTCTCATGTTTTAAATTTTTGGACCTATGAACTTACACGAGTTTTTGTGAAACAGAAGAGTAAACGCTACTGCTACCATTTTGTACTCTCTCTTACAGTCAATTTTCAGCTCGAGAGCTGACATCTTAATCAATTAAAAATCACATAAGTTTTAATAAAATAAAACTAAAGTCCTAGCTTTTCTAATTCTGGATGTGAACTAAATGCTAAAAGCAGTACAAATAAAAATTCATTTTTCCCTTCTCCAAATTGTCTGAAGAGTTTTATTTTAGATACAGTACAGTTTCCAACTAAATTAAGCTATAGAAATGAAATAATATCTACTGCTTAAAATACTCGTTGCTTTCAACACTATCCCCAACAAGCTACCAATGATCTTCTTCACAGAACTGGAAAAAACCACCTTAAGCTTCACATGGAAACAAAAGAGAGCGCACATAGCCAAGTCAATTCTAAGCAAAAAGAACAAAGTGGGAGGCCTCACACTGCCGGACTTCAAGCTATACTACAGTGCTACAGTAATCAAAACAGCATGGTACTGGTACCAAAACAGAGATATAGACCAATGGAACAGAACAGAGGCCTCGGAGGCAACACAACACATCTACAACCATCCAATCTTTGACAAGCCTGCCAAAAACAAGCAATGGGGAAAGGATTCCCTATTTAACAAATGGTGTGAGGAAAACTGGCTAGCCATGTGCAGAAAGTAGAAACTGGACCCCTTCCTGACACCTTACACTAAAATTAATTCCAGATGGATTAAAGACTTAAAACATAAGACCTAACACCATAAAAACCCTAGAAGAAAATCTAGGCAAAACCATTCAGGACATAGGCATAGGCAAGGACTTCATGACCAAAACACCAAAAGAATTGGCAACAAAAGCCAAAATAGACAAATGGGACATAATCAAACTCCACAGCTTCTGCACAGCAAAAGAAACAGTCATTAGAGTGAATCGGCAACCAATAGAATGGGAAACAATTTTTGCAGTCTACTCATCTGACAAAGGGCTGATATCCAGAATCTACAAAGAAGTAAAACAGATTTACAAGAAAAAAACAAACAAGCCCATTCAAAAGTGGGCGAAGGATATGAAAAGATACTTTACAAAAGAATACATACATGAGGCCAACAAACATGAAAAAATGCTCATCATCACTGCTCATTAGAGAAATGCAAATCAAAACTACATTGAGATACCATCTCATGCCAGTTAGAATGGCGATCATTAAAAAATCTGGAGATAACAGATGCTGGAGAGGATGTGGAGAAATAGGAACACTTTTACACTGTTGGTGGGACTGTAAATTAGTTCAACCATTGTGGAAGACAGTGTGGTGATTCCTCAAGGACCTAGAAATAGAAATTCCATTTGACCCAGCAATCCCATTACTGGGTATATATCCAAAGGATTATAAATCATTCTACTATAAGGACACATGCATACAAATGTTCATTGCAGCATTGTTTACAATAGCAAAGACCTGGAACCAACCCAAATACCCATTGATGATAGACCAGACAGGGAAAATGTGGCACCTATACACCATGGAATATTATGCAGCCATCAAAAACGATGAGTTTGTGTCCTTTGTAGGGATATGGATAAACCTGGAAACCATCATTCTCAACAAACTGACACAAGAACAGAAAATCAAACACTGCATGTTCTCACTCATAGGCGGGTGCTGAACAATGAGAACACATGGACACAGGGAGGGGAGAATCACACTGGGGTCTGTTGGGGGGAAATAGGGGAGGGACAGCAGGGGGTGGGAAGTTGGGAGAAATGCCAGATATAGGTGATGGGGAGGAAGGCAGCAAATCACACTGCCATGTGTGTACCTATGCAACAATCTTGCATATTCTTCACATGTACCCCAAAACCTAAAATGCAATTAAAAAAATATAATAAAATGAACAAAACTTAAAAAAAATACTCATTGCTAAAATTTTCATCAAAAAATTTTATGGCTGTTACTATAAAATCATAAACCATCATGCTTATGGCTATGTCGCAGATGAAATGGAACATGTGATGGTAAAACATATTAAGAGGGTCTGCATTAGAGGTATCAATTTATTCTAATAAAAGTTTTGAATAGAAGGAAAAATGAATAAAATGAAGATTCTCACACCTTAAATATAACATGCAAGAAAGCTAAACAGTGCCAAATCTAGCTCAACCTAGCTGGTTAGAAGATTCAATTTTAATACCTCTTTCTTAGAAACTGCAGTTAACCATTTTGATAACAGACATATCAAAGGCACAGAAAACTAGAATGTAGTATTGCTTTAGAAGGAATTTAGTCTGAATGCTGGCCCAAGCCTCCCACGAACGATTAGCATGAACACCAACTCTTGCTCTCTCTTGACAGACTCAAATTTGGAATCCCTATGCTGTTGAAATATTTTATTAATATTTATGAAAAAACACCAAGATTGGTTTTTCATACTAGAAAAAAAAACAAAACTCCAGGTGATATCAAGCCTTTGCAATCAAAGTAATTTTGGCAATTCAAGGATAAAGAGGTATACAAAAATTAATATGACTTGGTGATCTGAGAACAGCATTTTCTGGTACTGGTATAATCACAATTTATATAACACATGTTCCAGAGATAGTCCAACAGATATTGTAATCTGTCTGTCCCACTTCTATCTCTGAAAGCTTAGCACCCATGTACTTTACTTTGTTATTTAATAACTGTTAGGATAATAATACATTTTGGCTTTCCCCCCCATCTAGAAAAATAAAGATAAAAATTTAAATTATCTCTATGTTTAACTAGTGCTAGAATTCTTGAAAAACTATTTTGAATAAAGTAATTCACACTACAGTATGAGCAGGATTACTCACTCAAAGGAGATTTAAAGGAAGAATTTATTAACCTATCTGTTTAAGCAGACAGGCCACTTCCCAAGTGGTTCAACTCTAAAGCAAAATACCAGAAACTGACTATGCCCACTCGCTTTCTAAAAGGATGCTAACTCCTGGCCTATAGTATATGACAGATTCTAATTTCCAAGAATGCTATAAAGACAATGGTTAATTTAGGAAACAGCTGTATGAACGACGATGTACAAAAAGATTCACTTAGAATGCTGAATGGTGAAGAGTCATCCTTTTCTCAGATAGTGAGCAAGATGTCTAATAATGTCCTTATCAATCTATACCCTGCATTTAATCTATATCTTTGGAGGCTGCCTCCTGGGCATAGGAGATTAAGCAAAAAAATATAAATAGAGAATAAAAAAGTTTAGACTTTAAAAATTCAGAATTCACAAAAGAGACTGACCCATTTTTTAACTTAAAAAAAAAAGTTAAAATTCAAATATCAAAAACGGCTTGCCATTATTCTGAGCTTTTATAAACATATACATCTATAAAAGGGGAATAACCAGCCCAAATCTTATACACAGTAACAGTGATATTAAAAAATATATCTCTGCCATTACTTCAGAATCACTCAAAGACATAAATATTTAACAAGTTAAGTTGAAAGAGGATATAGACTAGAGCAGAAAGAAAAGAGAAGCTCCAAGGAAAGAAAAAGGGGGTTGGGGGTCGGGGGTGGGGAAAGGCAGTGATCTCTTATATCCCCAAATCAAAAGACCTTTAAGGGAAAGTGATTTGTTAAAATATGTATACAAA